GTGTGTGTACTCACCTATTTGAACTCACCTATTTGTGGTTGCAGGGGTCGAGTCACAGCTCCTGGCCCGCCTCTTCGCTGATTGCTACAAAGGTCCTCTCTCTCCCCTGCCCCATGAGCTCTATCATACCTCGCCTTAAAACTATGTATGGTTCCTCCTTTCCACCACATCACTTTCTAGGCTTTTCCATGACCTGACTACCTATGACTGAAGAAATACTTCCAACATCCCTTTGATTCATCTGAGTCTTCAACTTCCAATTGTGACCTTTTGTGTCTGTGTCCCATCTCTGGAACATCCCGTCTTTGTCCACCCTCGTCTATTCTGCACAGTTTTTTTATATGTCGTTATCATGTCTCCCCTGACCCTCCTGGCCTCCAGTGTCGTCAGGCCGATTTCCCTCAACCTTTCTTCATAGGAAAATCCCCGTAGCTCTGGATTAGTCTTGTTGCAAACCTTTGCACTTTCTCTAATTTCTTGACGTGCTTGACTAGGTGGGATTCCAAACTGGTGCTGCATACTCCAGTAGGGGCCTGACGTAGATGGTGTACAGAGTCTTAAACGAATCCTTACTGAGGTATCGGAACGCTATCCGTAGGTTTGCCAGGCGCCCGTATGCTGCAGCAGTTATCTGACTGATGTGCGCCTCAGAATATGCTCGGTGTTATACTCACCCCCAGATCTTTTTCCTTGAGTGAGGTTTGCAGTTTTTGGGCCCATCAAACTAGATTGTGTCTGGGGTCTTCTTTTGCCCTTCCCCAATCTTCATGACTTTGCATTTGGAAAGGGTTAAATTCGGGAAAGCCAGTTGCTAGACCAGGCTTGTAGCCTGTCCAATCTCTTTGTAGTCCTGCTGATCTCGCCCGATTCGATTCTTCTCATTAACTTCACATCGTCTGCAAACAAGGACACTTCTGAGTCTATCCCTTCCGTTATGTCGTTCACGTAACCAAGAACAGCACAGGTCCTAGGACTGACCCCTGTGGAACCCCGCTTGTCACAGCTCCCACTCTGACACCTCTGCGTACCAGACTCGTTGTTGCCTCCCTGTCAGATATTCTCTGATCCATTGCAGTGCCTTTCCTGTTATGTGGCCTGGTCCTCTAGCTTTTGCAGTAACCTCTTGTGAGGAACTGTGTCGAAAGCCTTCTTGCAGTCCAAAAATAACGCATCGATCCACCCCTCCCCTCTCTTGTCTTACTTCTGTCACCTTTGTCATAAAAACTCTAGTAGGTTCGTGACACAGGATTTTCCTTCCCTGAAACCGTGCTGGTTGTCAATTATACACTTGTTTTTTCCAGGTGCCCCACCACTCTCCTCCTGATGATTTTCTCCATGACCTTGCATACTATACACGTTAGTGATACAGGTCTGTAGTTAGTGCCTCATTCTGTCCCCCTTTTTTTAAAATTTGGGACTACATTTGCCATTTTCCCATCCCTCAGGGAGTTGCCCAGTTTCAAATGATGTGTTGAAGATCTTTGTTAATGGCTCACACAAAAATCTCGCTCCCTCTTTAAGGCCCATGGAGAGATGTTGTCTGGTCCCACCGCCTTTGAGTGGTCAAGTTCGCATAGCAGCTTCTTCACCTCCTCCTTGGTTTTAATGTACCTCATCCAGCACTTGCTGGTGTGCCCCCCTGTTCTGATTTCTTGGAGTCCTACTGGTTTCCACTGAAATACCTTTTTAAATCTTGGTTAAACTCCTGACATACCTCTCGGTCGTTTCTGTGAATTCCCCATCACCCTTCCTCAGTCTAAATTACCGGGTCCTTGACTGTTGTTTTTCTCCTGATGTGGCTGTACAACAGCTTGGGGTCAGTCTTTACTTTTTGATGCTATGTCATTTTCATATTGTCTCTGACCCTCCCTTCTTATCTGTGCATATTCGTTTCTGGCTCTTCGGCTGATTTCTTTTTTTTTCCTGAGTTCTCTGTCTCTGTACCTTTTCCATTCTCTAGTAAAACCTAGTTTTTGCCTCCCTACACCTTTGGGTGAACCAGGACTCGTTCTGTTCTTCCATTATTCTGTTTCCCTTGGAACAAACCTCTCCTCTGCCTCCTTGCATTTTGCTGCTACATAGTCCATCATTTCTTGTACTGGTTTTCCTGTCAGTTCCCTCTCCCACTGAATGTCTTGAAGGAAGTTCCTCATGCCTAAGTAGTTCCCCCTTTTGTAGTTTGGTTTTTCTCAGCCTATTCCTGCTACTCTCTCCACTTGGAGCTCAACTATGTAGCCGAAGCACAGAACCACATGATCACTAGCTCCCAGGGGCCTTTCATACATGATACCCTCGATGTCCGAACTACTCATGGTGAATACAAGGTCCAACCTTGCTGGTTCATCCTCTCCTCTCTCTCTGGTAGTGTCTCTAACATGTTGATGCATGAGGTTCTCCAGTAACCACATCCATCATCTGGCTCTCCATGTTTCGGGACCCCCATGGGGCTCCAGGTTTTCCCAGTCAATCTCCTTGTGATTGAAATCACCCATAACTAGTAACTTTGCTCCCCCCATGTGTGCTCTCCTGGCCACCTCGGCTAGTGTGTTGATCATTGCTCTGTTGCTCTCATCGTATTCTTCTCTTGGCCTCCTGCAGTTCTGTGGTGGGTTGTACATTACTGCAATTATCACCTTATGTCCCTCAGACTGGATTGTTCCTACTAAGTAGTCCTTTCGCCCATGCCATCCATTCCTTCCATTTTCTCAAAACCCACTGGTTTTTAATGAGCAGTGCAACTCCTCCTCCCCCTCTCCTCCCACTGTCTTTCCTGAAGATTTGATATCCGGATGGAAAGATTGAATCTGTTATTATTCTGGTGAGTTTTGTTTCTGTGAGTGCTATTATGTCTGGGGATGTCTCTTTGATTCTTTCGTGCCACTCCTCATACTTGTTTGTTATTCCATCTGCATTTGTATACCACACCTTCAACTTCTTTTCTAAGACGTGGTCTGGGAGTATATTGGGGTTGGGGAAGTGGGAGACCTGGTAAGGAAACATATGGGTTGTTGCTGTGGGGGTGAAGTTTGTAATGTAGTGGGTGGGGGCATTGGATGTGGCATGGGTGTTTTGATTTAGAGTGTTTGGTTGCACTGGGGTTGACCTGGTTGGGAGGCTTCTATAGAAAGTTGTGAGGGAGGCTGTATTTGATCTTCTTCCTGGGTCTGGGATCTCCTGTCTGTCTTCTCCATCCCCTCTCTTTCCTCCTTTCGCCTTTGTACCATCTCTCTCAGTTTCTTCCTTTCTTCTTGTGTTCTGTCATGTCCCTTAATCGTGCTTTCTTCTGCAGGATCCTGGTCCGAGTCGCTTCTGCCTTGAAGGTCACTCTCACTGGCCGGGTTCTTTTTTTTACAAACCCCCCTATTCTCCGAAAATTTTCCAACTGGGTCATATCGTCTTCTCCTATTGCTTTCATGATGCTTTCAATTGCTTTTTTTTCCCCTTGTTTTCTTGCTTCATATGTTTCCCCTTCGACTTCCTGGAGCCCATACACAAAGACTGACCTCACCCTTTCATTCTCCCACTGCATATCCCTGTGTATCCCCTCATTTAATTTGGTTTCCTCCACTGCAGCTTTCCTTTCATCAGTTTCACTGGCTAATGTACTTGGGCTTAGTGGCCTTAGTGGTGTGTGTGTGTGTGTGTGTGTGTGTGTGTGTGTGTGCGTGAGTGTGTGTGTGTGTGTGTGTTTGTGTGTATGTATGTATGTATGTTGTGTGTGTGTGTGTGTGTGTGTGTGTGTGTGTGGTGTGTGTGTGTGTGTGTGTGTGGTGTGTGTGTGTGTGTGTGTGTGTGTGTGTGTGTAAAACAGTTAACTGCGTAGCCTCATTTATTAGTTGTTCGTGAGATCAGTTTGGACAAACAAGCCATTAGGTAACAGCCATTTAGCTCCGGACGTCACAACAGTGTGAAGTCATACACGACACCATAAACGTGAACGTCATCACGGTGCTCTCCAGTGCATCCAAGACCATCAGGGCAATTTACGTTTTCCAGGTTTATAGAGCTTTTGTGGATGGGAAAAACCTTTCGGGTTAGTTTTGGAATCTCTAGCAACTTTAATTTCATAGTCCCGTTTAGCTTTTCTTATCCCTTTTTAACGTCCCTCTTAATGTCAAAATATTGATTCATAAAATGACCCTCACCTCTTCGGATGCGCCTATAAATTCCTTTCTTTTGCCCAAAAATATATTTAGGCCTATTATTCATCCATTTAGGGTCATTTTTATTCGATCTAATTTCTTTATACTGAATAAATGTACTTCGGAGGCATGTACAGTGTTTAGAAAGCTGTCATATTGATAGCTCTCCCTGAATCACTTATTCTACCTATCTTCGTGTCATCAGCGAATTTGCTCATATCATTAGTAATTCCCTCGTCAAGATCATTGATATATATTATAAACAACAACGGGCCTATAAGTGATCCCTATGGGACGCCACTTGTTACAGATTCCCACTCCGATTTTACCCCATTTATGCACACTCTCTGCTTCCTGTTGGTGAGCCATGACTCGATCCATGACAGAACTTTTCCCCCAACGCCATGAGCTGCCACTTTCTTTAACAGTCTTTGATGTGGTACTCTATCAAAATAAACAATATCGAATTCTTTATCGTGATCAACAACCTCGAAAGCTTTACTGAAGAAAGTTTGTAAATTAGTTAGGCAGGAAAGGCCCCTCGTGAATCCATGCTGAGTATCATTAATTAAATTATGTTTATAAAGATGGCTTCTTATAATATCAGCTATAATTGACTAGTAATTTGCCTACAATTGAAGTCAGGCTTATTGGGCGGTAATTTGACGGTATGAACTTTGTTGCACCTGACTGTTGTTACGTTAACCCAACACATCCCCCTACTGGATATTTTTGTACTTTTTTGTTACGTTATCGGAAATGGTCAGTTTTGGTTTATTTACGATTTTTACCGATAAAAACTAATGCCTTGTGAGCACATGCTAGCTCACGAGTACTTGCTCTCACCTCTTTCTCCAGATCAATCACCGCAACCTGACCATTGTTCGCCCTCCAGTTGTGGGTCCACCTCCAGTAGTGGGTCCACCTCCAGTAGTGGGTCCACCTCCAGTAGTGGGTCCACCTCCAGTTGTGGGTCCACCTCCAGTAGTGGGTCCACCTCCACCCAAGGCAGGTGAGTTTCTCCTCGTGTTAATATAAGGAGTGTGACGTAATTGTTTTTGTGAGGGGATGAGCCCTGACGCATGCATGGATGCTGGAGCTTATGTGAAAGTTCTCGTATTGCCTTATCTCTCTCTGTGCGTGTCTGTCAGTGACTATCTCTGTGCGTGTCTGTCAGTGACTATCTCTGTGCGTGTCTGTCAGTGACTATCTGTGTCCGTGTCTGTCAGTGACTATCTGTGTCCGTGTCTGTCAGTGACTATCTGTGTCTGTGTCTGTCAGTGACTATCTGTGTCCGTGTCTGTCAGTGACTATCTGTGTCCGTGTCTGTCAGTGACTATCTGTGTCCGTGTCTGTCAGTGACTATCTGTGTCCGTGTCTGTCAGTAACTATCTGTGTCCGTGTCTGTCAGTGACTATCTGTGTCCGTGTCTGTCAGTGACTATCAGTGTCCGTGTCTGTCAGTGACTATACTGTGTCCGTGTCTGTCAGTGACTATCTGTGTCCGTGTCTGTCAGTGACTATCTGTGTCCGTGTCTGTCAGTGACTATCTGTGTCCGTGTCTGTCAGTGACTATCTCTGTGCGTGTCTGTCAGTGACTATCTGTGTCCGTGTCTGTCAGTGACTATCTGTGTCCGTGTCTGTCAGTGACTATCTGTGTCCGTGTCTGTCAGTGACTATCTGTGTCCGTGTCTGTCAGTGACTATCTGTGTCCGTGTCTGTCAGTGACTATCTGTGTCCGTGTCTGTCAGTGACTATCTCTGTGCGTGTCTGTCAGTGACTATCTGTGTCCGTGTCTGTCAGTGACTATCTCTGTGCGTGTCTGTCTCTCTTTATCAATATAACTATAAGGCGGCTTTTGCAAGGCAAAAATAAATTAATTTTAAAAATTCATAACAAGCAACCCACTCTATCAGTTCTATATAAATGATCCAAGTGGCTACAACAGATATTAAGCCCAACTGAAGGCGAAACTTACAAATGCGGTTAAAAAAAAAATAATTTTCATATGGTTGACAAAATAGGTACTTCACCTGGCCTTAATACAAAGATTACGACGTGGTTAATTATTATATTATTTTATTATTATTATTATTATTATTATTATTATTATTATTAAAGATTCGCCGGTATTCTCCCGGCCCGGGCCTTTTCCAAGTGGTGGCCCGGCCTTGGCTCCCTGTCTAGGGAGTGTCTGAGACCTAAGTCTCCCATGGGAGGAGGCACAAGTACCCCCTCATCTTTGGGACCAACTGTCCCCAGGCCCAGCCACAAGCTAGGCCTCTCTGGTCTGCCGTCCCCGCCCCAAAGGGGCTAATGGGAATGACAGTCTTGTGAGCTGCAAGCTCTGGCTCAGGCACCTACCCTACCCTAGAAGGGCTGGGCATGTTGTCGATGACGTGGTTAATTTTCGTGTAAGAACAGAGGAGCACTGCAGCCTACTGGCCCGTACCTGAAGACTTATGCGACTATAATTTACCGTTGGCTGCGTCTACAGTCATTGAACTCATTAGACATTGTATCGTTGACGCAAAATTTTTGTTTAATGGTAAATTATACGCTAAAAACATTTGATTTGACAGTGGAAAAATTGCCTTTAAACTGTTCTTGGTAATTTATACACGAAATACTTTGGAAATAAACTGGCAAACCGAATTCTTGCTGGTACAGATAGGTGGATGATGTCCTATATGATTATCTGCTTTACTGGTTAGTTTTACTGCCTGTTTGCACTTCTTTCCCAAGCAGATAGAAACCGAGATGGTGAAGCACAACATTCCTGGAGGCACGAGGATGACACAGCAGCAGCTGGTGTGGGGTATGATCACCTCTCTCGTGATCCAATATACTATAATACTCCGGGAATACTCACGCCAGCACATTACATGCATCCACCACACAATTCTGTACGACCCATGTCCAAGCGTCGCACACCCGTACAGTTCCCACTTCGAAGACGTTCTCGAGCAGTACATGGTCGAGGCCAGCCTGAGACGCTGTCCTGTCCTACACACGGTGTACACCCATATCCCAAGGTACAGTAGTTATATATAAACAAACCATACCATGGGCGGGAACTGAACTCGTGGCGACTCACTCGCCACGAGTTCAGTCCCCACCAGTGGTATGGTTTGTTTACAATCATGTCATTACAATTTCGCGAGTCGAGTAGCTAGATATGTATGAGTGGCCGCTGAAATCACTTTTGCACTGAGTGCTTGTAAAACAAAATGATTCATCAGACTGCTTCTTAGTTACTTTCCCTGTCTATCAGTCTCGTAGATTCATTCTTCCCTAGTTTTCGCATTCTTCAGAGTTTTGCTTTCTTTTAATGCTACATTATAGCGCATAATACAATTCAATTCTGAGACAAGTCTGGGCATTTTGAAACGGGCTTGAAGTACTCTATTGTGACTCCTCAATGAATCATTACCGAGGTTCCTGAAAAATGTGATTTGCTAGCCTGTTATATGCTGCTATGTGACGTTATTGCCATACTTTACCGGCAATGTATTTGTTAAGATACTCATTTCCAGAATCTTTTCTTTTTTCGTCAGCCTTTTCACTTTCCCTCTCCATGTACGAAGTTACATGACCTAAATATTCGAATGAACTTCAGCAGCTGTTTGACCATTCCTGAAAGCTGTTAATAAATGGAAACCTCTCCTTACATCTTGTTGGTAGGTAAGACACATGGGCAACAGTTAGGCAACTTTGTTCAGAAACGTTTCGCCTACACAGTAGGCTTCTTCAGTCGAGTACAGAAAGGCAGGAGCAGTAGAGATGTGAAGACGATGTGATCAGAGGTTGTCAGTCCCTGAGAAGAGTTCTGTTCCATAGCTTGAAACAATCTGAAGATCAAGCGACAGTGTGGAGACTTATATACTTATATGTGAAGACGAATACATCGTCTTCACATTTCTACTGTTCCTGCCTACTTTCTGTACTCAACTGAAGAAGTCTACTATGTAGGCGAAACGTTTCGGAGTAAAGTTGCCTAACTGTCGCCTATGTGTCTTACCTACCAACCTATCGGTATTGTATACCATTTTGATACTCTCTCCTTACATCTGAAAAAAATACGTATGATTCGGACTGATCTGTGTGCCTATGAAGAGTATGAACGGGTGAAGGTAAGGAGTAGTGTGTGTTGTTGTAAATTGTTGATGGACCAATTACTTCATTCTTCCTTCCTGTATCGGTGAGACTGAAGAACTTCCTAGTAACCGCTGCTGCCCTTCTCTCGTATATATACTGGTTCCCTTACCTTCGTGTGTGTGTGTGTGACTAATGAATGGTCAAAGTCTGACCGAAACGTCGTCATAAGTTTCTTTCTCCTATGTGCGTGTTATTTGTGTATTGAACAGTGATTTATATATTTTTCTTTACCACTTAGTACAAGTAAATTTCTCTCTCTCTCTCTCTCTCTCTCTCTCTCTCTCTCTCTCTCTCTCTCTCTCCTTTTCTCTCCTTTCTCTCTCTCTCTCTCTCTCTCTCTATCTATCTATCTATCTATCTCTATCTCTTTTTTTTTTTTTTTTTTACACAGGGTTTTTGACAATTTAAGGACCCCAAACTTTTTTGGGAAAAGCTTTTTACAGGTTAAGGTTCCTAACTTTATGACAAGGGCAAAAGAGCTGTTCCCAAATCAGCTCTTTGAAAGCATTTTTTTTTGTTATGAAACATCAAGTGGGGAAAAGGATGAAGTTGGAGCATCTGGGGGCCCACATTTTCATTTGATCAAGTTTTATTCTTTGAATCATTATGCTGTAAAATGTTTCCATACTCGAGTATCCTGGGTATTTGGACTCAGAGGGAAGGATTTTTGGGAGAAGGGCAGCCAGGGTAAAATTGCTCTTTTCCCCGTCTTGTGGCTTTAAAGGGTTTTGTTTCCCCCCCCCCCCCTTTTTCCCTTTCTCTCTCCTTCTCTCTCTCTCTCTCTCTCTCATTTTCTTTCCCTTTTTTTTCTCCTTTTTCTCGGTCACTCTTTTTTTTTTCCCTTCTTTTTTCTTCCAAAATATTGGGGTTTTCCCCAAGCCGGGGGAAAGTTCTTGCTTTTTTCAAAAAAATTTCCATTCACTTTTTTAAGGTTTTTTTTACCCCCTTTTTATTAATTTTTTTTCCCCATTATCCCGAATTTGTTTGACATGTTGGATCCCCCCCATACTGGGGGTTCCTGGCTTTTCTAATTTTATTTTCAACCCTTCAATTCCTACCACAACCCCCAGGCCTACCCCCTTTTCCAAAAATTCCCTTTTGATCAAATTTTCCCCAAAATTATAAGATTGTTTATTTGTATAAGTTGGTGGGTTTATATTGGGGGGGGTTGGGGGTTTTAATAGTGGTTGGGGGGGTGATTTGGGGAAGGGTTTGATTGGCTAAGGGGTTGGTAGGAGGGAGGAATGGGGGGGGGGTTTTATTGTATAAAGGGGTGGGGGGTTTTTTAATTGGGGAAGGGTTTTGGTTTAGTTTTATAAGGGGGGGGGGTTTTTTGTGTTAGTGGGGGGGTGGTGGTAGGTAGTATAGGGGTGGGGTGGTGATGGTATTTGATGATAGGGGGGGGGGTGGTGTTGTGTATGTAGTGGTGGGGGTGGTGATGGTAGTTTAGTGTAGTGGTGGGTGGTGTGTAGTTGTGTGAAGTGGGGGGGGTGGTGAGGAGTTGTATGTAGTGGGGGGGGTGGTGATGGTAGTTGTAGTGATAGTGGGGGGGGTGGTGATGGTTTTGTAGTGATAGTGGGGGGTGGTGATGTAGTTGTAGTGAAGGGGTGGGGGGTGGTGATGGTAGTTGTAGTGATTGGGGGGGTGGTAATGGGTTGTAGTGATAGGGGTGGGGTGGTGAGGGAAGTTGTAGTGATGTGGTGGGGGTGGGATGGTAGTTGTAGTGATATGGGGGGGGGTTGGGTAGTTTTAGTGATAGTGGTGGGGGTGGTATGGTATTTGTAGGAATGGGGGTGGTGGGTAGTTGTAGGTTGTGGTGGGGGTGGGGAGGTTTTAAGTTTAGTGATAGTAGTAATATGAAAAATAAGGCCAACAGTTATTTGAATAAATTTAAAAAAAAAGTAGTATGCAAATATATATGAATTGAAAAGTAGTTTCCCCAAACTTCTTTCCCATGTGACAGGTGACATACTTGACAAGAGAAAAGCAAAAAGAGCATCTGGGAGGGAGGGGGATACTCTCTGCCCCCCCGACTTTATGGAAGTTTCCCTTTCTGAAGGTATGCAAGAAATCACAGCAAAACGGTGCTGAAGTATATATATATATAAAATACCAGTGAGAAAATAAGCAAGAAAACTGGAGCGCTTTTTGGGGTGCTTCCCCCACATCTTTAGAGGTTTTTTGCAAGCCAAAACCTAAAATTTTCATTTTTTTTTTCACAATGTGGTAAAGTTTTTGTTTTGATGAAAGGTTTGTAAAAAAGGAGGCGAGGAAAATGCATGAAGGGCCAGTATTTAGGTTCGTAGTTGTATTAAAAGAAATTTCATCATGGCCTCCGGTCCTTTAGGCCCCATCCCACTGTTACTTCTTGTGACTTCCGTATGATTCTCTCTTGTAAACCCCCTCAGTTTTCCACGGTCCTTCACGGAAGGGCCATGATATAGGTGAAGGGCGTTTGTTCAAAAACACGGAGTTACCTCTACTTTTTATGGTCCAGTTTGACAACTTCTCCCCCAGGTGCTGTCAACAATGCTTACTGTAATACTAAAAATGGTTCACCGGCTGCTCCAATACATAATGTTGCGGGGCAAGCAGCCTACCAAATGTCCCCAGGTTAAATCTTCAAAGTGGCTAAAAAACAAGTGCCCTCCCCCCTTTGGGGACAGTGTGTCCCAAGATCCCAAAAGGGACAAATAAGTAAATGAAACTGTTCATTCTTAATCAGCCCTTCTGTCATATTTATGTTATATTTGTGTATATTGTAATCAAGCAGTATTGTTTATTTATTAAAACTTCATGGTACTCTGTAAAATACCAGACCCATTTCGATTACTTAGAGCAAGGAGTGGTGGAGGCTCGATCATTAATCCGATAATAGCAAGAACACTCTACGTAACTCTGTCTTAACAGAGTATTGTTACATTTATGATAAGGTAACACACGACTCAAAGATTCCTGAGCAGCCTTGATAAGCGATCCATGTAGCGTTTCTCTTTCAAACGCAGTCTCTTCCACTCTGTATTGCATGATCTATATAGGTTTAGCGCTTTCGAGCAGCCCACCTGCTGGAAAGTGCCAAGTAAGAGTCTTTAAAAGGATTAACATCTTCTCAGGAGAACCCAGAATGATAACGATGACACCTCCAGCATCAGGCCAGAGACTGAGGCTCAGAGGGGGTACCGCCCCCTGGGCTGGCTATGTCCAGGTGAGCAAGTGATAAAAGTGTGGAGGCAGGGAAACAAGATATTATTGTTATTATTAATTATAATTAAAACTAAGCTCTAAACCCGCAAGAATCATACAGCTGGTGATTATATTAAGTAAAAACGCATAATACTATATTACCCTCCCCCCCTCACACACAGAGGGGGGGGGGGGGGGGGGGGGGGGGGGGGTGGGGGGGGGGGGGGGGGGGAAGCATTAAGAAATTAATTTTCACTCTTTTCGAATTTTTCATGATTTGTGTCAGTGAAATTAACACTTTAAATATTTGCTTATTGCTTCATTGATCTGCTGCCCGTTCATTTCTCTTCACGCAACCCTCTCTTCTGTATATTTGGGCAAAGGCGAAGGACTTGCTTTGTATGGACCAGCAGGCCTGCTGTAGTGTTCTTCTTTCTTATATTATGTTCTTGTTCTTATACCGCTGCTGCGTCAGGTGTATAGGGAAAGGGAGGGATGGTTGCTGGTGGCAGACTCTCCACATGGCTGGACGAAAGACGAAGCATCGGTCGTCTGCAGGAGCCTTGGTTTCACCAGGTGAGTAACCAGGCAGTTGTTTCTTCCTCTCAGACTCCACAGCAATTCTGTCATTCTATATTAGTTATTCTGAGACCTACTTTTGGATTTCTTTTTTTTTTTCGCACGTTTGCCTGGCAGAGGAGCGGCATCAGCTACCCAGGGGCTTTGCTTTGGTTTTCTGTCCGGGATGAGAGAAGGAGTGCGTCATGTGAAATGCCAGGGCCAGGAGCAACACTTCATGAACTGTAACCTTATACTAGGAGATTCGGAAGATCTTGATAATACAGTGGTCGGTAAGTCTGTGTGTTTACTAACTGCTACACGTGAATCATATTATCACGTATCAAACCACTTGCTGGTACTATTGTACTCCTCTGGCTTATTGAACCGTCCTAATGCTGGATTAAAAGGACACAAGCGCAGTTAAATAAACATTTTATTGTGGCAACGTTCGCTTCGTCCAGGCGCTTTACAACCGTTACAAACAATACATAGACACAGAGGTAATAAGGCTCAGAGTGAGGTGGTAATACTTATGGTAGTATAGTAGTATAGTAAGTGTAGTAGTAGTAATATAGTTGCCATAGTAGTAGTAATGGTAAGTCAGACACATATGCAACACATTTACAGAGCCTGCTTACTCACGAATGCAAATACACTAACAAGTAAAGTTCAAAACCAGCGAGAGTGGCACAACCAAATGAGTCAGTCCAAACTACACTTGCGCTGTCGATAGTGGAGTCTGCAAGTCAAATGAAATGCGATTTAATCGCTCAAAGAGCCTTTGTTTGTCGTCTGTACAGAACACACAGAGCTGAGAAAACTACTTACTACCTAACTCTACGAGACCAGGATTTCTTGTCTTGACTTCGCCCCAGCACTGAGGGCAGGAGAACTGTGTTCCTCAAGCACTCGACAACCTTATCACTTGTACAGTCCACTGAAGAAAATCAGTCATCTATCGAAGCAAAGAACCCTTGGGCCAAGTGGTCTTTCATTACTAAATACCCAATGCTTCATCCATGCAGAAGGTCACCTTCATGACGTCAACATTGGCAGCCAACTCTCGCTGAGGGCCTGGCTATTCACAAACATCCACATCAACCACCTTCACGAAGCAGAGAAATTCCAACATATCTCACAGTGCAATAATTGTTACTCAATGACTTACACACCACAAATGATTGTCCAACCAAGGACAAGAAGTATCTGCTCCCACCTGTGCCGAGAGGGTCATGACTTCAAGAATTGCACTACTGCTTCAACCACCTAAATGCTTAACTGCAAGAATGACCCACATACCCTTGCTGCCAGGTGCCCTACCAGAAGAGACATACTCAAGAAACAACGACAACAAAAGAAACCCAACCCACAAGCAACCACATATTCTGCTATCTGCCAAGTCTTTCAGGCAGACACAACCAAGATATACATGCCACGCGAAGCTGCACCCACCACTTCCCTGCCAGCACCTATTGCCGACTCCACCAGATTTCTTTGTTGCATTATTTATGCTCATGTACAGAATGCAGCTGAGCCTGTTCCTTCAAACACAACCATCATGAACTTTTCAAACTAAATAATATCCTGTCTCACATTCCCTGCATCACCACCTTCCACTGAGATCACAAAATCTACTGCAAATATTACCAGCATCACCGCTGCTCCACCGCTGTCACAACCTCCACTATACACAGAGATACCAATCAGAAGACCTCTGAGACGTCGCAAAACCACCAATGGAGAGTCCACTACGCTTTCAAATCCCTGCTAGAGCAACTGACCAGTCGAAATCTCGCTTCACCCAGTTCAGCCACCACCAAGAAAGCAAAAACACAAGACACTGCGGATGCACCTCACGGTGCCACAGTCACTTGACACTGCTGCACCACAACGGTCCCATATCTGAAGTGTATACTTCTACACAACCAAGGAGTATAAGACACAATGCTGTCTTCAGAAAATCCAGTCATCACCGTCCAGGACGGGAACAGTCAAGTATACCTACGACCAAACTGCTCATACACCACTGAAGACATGACCAGACTACTCACTGCCAAACACCCATCACCTGTGGAAGTCAGGTACACCACAAAGAGAAAATTCAGGATCTTCAGAATGGGAACCTTGAAGACGGTACCCTCGCTAGTAGACTAATCCAAGCCATTCACCCAGCACTTTGCTGTCCCTAAAGTTGGGGTGTGGCTCCAATCAAACCCTGTAACTGTGCTGCCCCTGCCCGAACTGGCGCTTCTCTTTGGGAAGTCAGCGTCAAGATAGGAAAAGAAGACGAACATCCTCCAACCGGAAGGGCAAGAAAGAAGAAAGGATGATTATCCATCACCCCCCAACCCGGGGGGGCCACTGCCCGGGTCCACCAACTGGAGAAGACCTGGGCCAGAAGACCTGCGATCAACAGTGAATGAAAATAGAACAACCATCACACGACACTCCACACAGGAGAAGCACAGCGCTAGCATGATCGACACCACCAAGTCCTTCCCTTCTAAGGGCATGGTTGGTGCCAGAGCCAGCAGTTTGTACTTACCAAGATGAGGGGGGTACTTGTGCCTCCTCCCATGGGAGACTTAGGTCTCAACTACTCCCTAGACAGAGCCAGTCCTGCCGGGCCACCACTTGGAAGGGCCCGGCCGGGAAAAATCCGGCGAATCTTTAACAACAACATAGGCAACAGGCATCTTTAATCCGAAATGTTTCGCCTACACAGCAGGCTTCTTCAGTCGAGTACAAAAACTAGGCAGGAGCAGTAGAGATGTGGAGACGATGTAATAAGCCCATCACCCTTGAAGTCGAAGATTTGAGGTTGTAAGTCCCTCAGCCTGGTAAAGAGTTCTGTTCCATAGTCTGAAACAATGTGGAGATCAAGTGACAGTGTGGAGACTTATATACTGTCGGAAAGAGAAGTGTAGCGTGGTAGAGGAAATAATGTAAACACTAAGAGGTCACATCCCTCTTAGATCCAACCATTATCACTTGAAAAAGTTGTCCAAAGTATTTTTTTTCTATACCAAGATGCCATTGTGTTGCAGTGTCTGACAGAGTGAACATCAAAATGGTATATAATACTGACAGGTTGATAAGTAAGACACATAGACAACAGTTAGGCATCTTTAATCCGAAACATTTCGCCTACACAGTAGGCTTCTTCAATCGAGTACAGAAAGTAGGCAGGAGCAGTAGAGATGTGGAGACGATGTAATCAGTACATATACCCTTGGGGCCATGCATTGTTTGTAACGACTTGATAAAGCTTCTGGAGAGCGAAACGTTGCCACAATAAAATGTCACATTAGTTGAACTTGCGTCCTTTTACTTTACATATTGTCGGTAATTCTACCAACATTAATACAGTCTCTAATACTGTTCTCACCTCTGCTACAGTTACTTCTACTGCTAGTGTTTTTGATGCTCTTTTGTCTTCATCGCTTTTGTTTACCGAATCACTTCTAGTGTTGCTATCACCACCTCCGGTGATGACGCTACCACTGCAAATGTTAATGTTCCCACTGCTATCTAAAATTCAAATTTTGGCTCTGTTAAATCTCCTAATCTCAACCGGAGTCATTGCTTACATTTTGAAGTCTTTTCTGGTGCTCTTACTATTGTCAGTTCCTTGTTGTTGCTGATGCTGCAGTTGTTGCTGATACTGTGCTTTAATATTTATATTTTAGTTAATTTTACCAACATTATCACAATTTATAATATTGCTTCTTGTACCGCTGCTGCTGTTGGAATCGTATTAAATAAAAGGTAATTTTAAACCGTCATTTTCATGCTTTTGCTGTTATGTTCCATTTTTTTTATATATAATTGTTTACACACCCTTCTCCTCCGTGGGCGGCTTGGGATCCTCCCACAGGAGTACGCTGCCTGAGGAACTGGGTGTCTGAGTGTGGTGCTGTAGGGGGAGTTCGCTGGGGTGACAAATGCTACTTCGTCCACACATCGGACCTCGCGTCGCACTCTGAGGCTCGTGTCAGGTGCTCTTCCAGGGGTGCCAGGCTCCTCTCTATCACCTCCCAGGTCAGTCAACAGATCAAAGTTATGCTATATCCGATTTTAGCAATGAGTATATTATTAGAGCGTATTTATCTGTGTATGAATCTCAGTTAAATTAAGTTAAACAAAAACAGTCTCTGGTCTTGGACTACACTGACCTCACTTGTATAGTTCCGTGAGAGATTTGCCATCTCTGGCATGAAGATCTGGAGGCTTTACTCTGGGTCTCTGCATAGGGTTTAATTCTCTCCTATGAGCCATGTCCACCCTCTCGCCACTATCTCTTCACTGTAGACCATTTCTTGGTATATTGTCCCATGTTTCCACTCTGCCAGGACCCTCTTTCACTCCCTGCCTCACGGGGTACAACCTACGACTTCCGGGTCTCGATCCAGCCCTCAGTTTTGATATTTTTTCGGATGTGATGGATGCGAGTATTAAATTTTAAGTTACAATCGGGGTATATACCTAATTATTTTCCTCCTTTTCTTTCTTAGTACGAATTACTTTTTTACTTTAAATCGAGTGTTTTTAGCTTTATTCGCGTACATCCAGGAAGAAATCTTCACAACTCTGTTGTTAATTAAGGACGACAGAATCCGGATTAGATATACGTAGCAGATGTTGTGTTTATATTTCCATTGTGTCGGTATTTTATACCATTTATTTCCACGTCCTTACGTTGATGAGTGGGACAGTCTGTCTAGTATGGTTACAAGAACATGTGTAATCCGCAAACAGGACTGATTAAAGTTCCTGGGAGGCATTTGGAAGGTCAGTAATATACAAGGTTAATACTAGTGGACCAAGAACGCTACCCTGCTTTAATTAATAATATTATTTCCTTTCTTTCCCGTTGTTCACTTATTGGCTTATGTCCATTGTGTTGCAGTCTGTCCTGAAGCCAACCTTGCTTTTAAGGTATATATTTAAGATAGTTTCATTAAAATTTGTGTAATTATGACATACATTAACACGAATATTACATAAAAGCGAAACAGTTTTTTAAGTACAAACTGCAGAGGGAGAGAAACCGACAAGACGCAAGTACTAAATGGTTTAAAAATCGACAAGTTGAAGATTGAGATACTTATGCAACATATGGGAATCTTTATTGAGGATTCCCATAGGTTGCATAAGTGTCTCAATCTTCAAGACGGAAGTAGCACAGACGTAAATTATTATTGTTATTTAAATAAAAAATAAGAGCTAAACCCACAAGGGTCATACAGCACTGCGATGGTCTTAACCGAAAGTAAAGATTGAAGGTTTGAGTGTTTTCATTCTTTTCACAAATAACACTACTCAATAGGAATCCCTTTCTATTCATTTTCTCATAAATTTTCGAGGTAGGTAGAGAACGACTTCGTCTCCGACCTCCTGGAGGCGATGGGTGGGGACACCTTGAGTTTTTACACTGAAGGCGTCATGAACCACGTCAACCATCTCTCCCAGCGGAGGGTCAACTCCCTCAGTTTGCCTTTCTCAGCGTGGTGGCCAGGTCAGTGGTGGTGTTGAATAAAATAGGTGGTAGTGGTGTCCCTCACCACTGTGGGGGCAGAGGTAAGTAATGTTGAATGGTGGTAGTGAGTGGACAGGGGAGACGAGTGATGTTGGTAGTGAGGGATATTAGTGATTGTAGCATCATTGGGTGGTGGTGGTAGTGCTGGTAGCACAAATGGCATGCTCTTATTAGAGAAGAACACATCGCTATGCCCCAAAAATATCTTTATCCCAGCTGTAATGTAAAAAATATGACTTCGTCTTAACGTCCACTTTGATTTGTCCATTCTTTGGATGAATCAGAGAGGAGAAAACCACTTCAATTCAGCTTAGTACTTGCACAAGCCAACACTAAAGTCGCCATCACAACCAGCACATCCATGAAAGACCTGACCAGCACCAAAGCGATGAACCTTGAACTAGTCAATGGTTGTGTTTACACAATCCCTTGTGGATGTATGTATGATTTTCGCCAAGACCGGAGTCCTGGCGATGACCCGTCTCAGGCTCCTGAAGGAGAAAGGGTTCTGCAATGTTGCAACGTATGCTATTCAAGCATTGTTTTGGTCAGTTCATCTGGTCCGTCTCATAAGCGACAACACCGTATGTACTCCTTACTGTGGACACTAGCGAGGAGGAGGATATGTCGTTATCACGGGCAACAGCTTGTCTGGTTCGTTGACTCCATGGTACACTAGTGTAGCCGCAGTCCTCTCTGGGTTTTCTTCGGTAGGGGATATCAGTGCCAGTTGCCTGCGGAGTGTCTTAGTAGCTTCGCACTCCAGGAGTTAGTGTGTTAGAGGGCGCTGGATAACGTGCTGACAGTGCTGGCATATCTCCTCTGCCTTGTTTATCATCATCTTGGCTGTGGGAAAGCCCAAACGAAGCCGAAGGATGGCGGTACACTGCGCTCTGGACCAGCTTAAGGGGAAGGTTGCAAGTATTCCAGAAGTGGCCAGTTGCTGAACATCTGGAGCAGGCTTGTGTAGATGTGCATGTGTTTTTGTCGTGGCCGAATTTGTAGCATTTAAGACATTGTGTGATTGGGTAGAAGTTCGGAGTGAAGAGAGTGTTTGGAGGAATGCGGATGGTCTTGGCAAAGATTCCTTGACTGAAGAGTGTAGAGGCGTCAGCAGGAGTAGAACAGCGTATTTTGAGAATGGTAGATTATTATTATTATAATCAAAAAGAAGCGCTAAGCCACAAGGGCTATACAGCGCTGCTGAGAATGGTAGAGTTTTCGGGTCTGTAAATATCGTCAACAGAGTTGTAGATGAATGGTTCAAAGAACCGACACGTTGTTAAATTAGACACATGTGCAACTCTTGGGTATCTTTATTGAGGAAACGTTTCGCCATAGAGTGGCTTCATCAGTCCATACAAAGGATAAACTTGAAGAACAGGAGGAGAATGAGGTAATCAGTCCCTCAACCTTGAGTCGATGTGGTCACTCCATCAATCTTGAATAGAATACGGCATATGAGCGGAGAAGCAGCTTATAAACCGTAGGCAGGAGAGGTGCAGCAGTCGTAGGTGGTGTCACATTTGTCCAGCAGTCGTAGGTGGTGTCACATTTGTATGGACTGATGAAGCCACTGTGTGGCGCACTGAATCCACCAATGACAGCACTCACATTCCTTCCACCAAAGAGGAGCTACCTCTTACTTCCAGCACTACACCTCCTGAAGCATCAGCCCCACCTTCGCCACAACCACGATCAACTAAGCAAGCCTCGACACAACCACCTTTACGTATTGAGTCACCTCAACCTGCAGAAGAGGAACAACCGATCAGATCCACTGGCCCTCCCACCATTTACACAAGTAACCCACTACTCATATCACCGGTTGCCGCCCTGGCAGTCTATCAGATCAAACATGGGACTATGAAATATACCGTTGCCCCTGGATGTGACCAACAAACTGTAACCGACTTACTAGAAGACCTTGGCACCGACAAAACTCATACAATCGAGTGTACTCTCCTATCAAAACCTGCATTCCGGCGACTTCAAAGTGGATCCAAGACCGGTCGCTAGGACAAGCAAAAACCCGCATATCTCAACGTAGATGCCACCTCTCCAGCTCACCACAGTTATGTTAGGTAAGACACATATGCAACAGTTAGACAACTTTATTCCGAAACGTTTCGCCTACACAGTAGGCTTCTTCAGTCGAATACATATCCAGATGTTGCACATGTGTCTTAACTTTCATATTGTCGGTATTTTATACCTTTCTTGCACAACTTGTCAGACACTGCAACATCATGGAATCTTGGTTCAGAGGACATCTACAAGACCTTCTTCACGGCTGCTGCAACTAACCCATCTCTTTGGGAAGGACCTACTTCCACTGGGGAATCCCGCTACCAGTGACTGCCCTCGTCTGCTGCCCGTCCCATTCACTGACGCCTATAAAAAGCGCCAGTCTTCTTGCCTTTGCTCCAGACTCTCCTCCACCACGATGCTGTGAACACTAACTCCAAGGCCGAGGGACTGATTACCTCATCTTTTGTATATAGTTCTACTGTCTTCCTATTATGTCCTAGAATCTGTATTGATAAAGCCACTGGATGGCGAAACGTCTACTACAATAAAGATATCCAGATGTTGCACATGTGTCTTAACTTTCGAATACAGAAAGTAGGCAGGAACAGTAGAGATGTGAAGACGATGTAATCAGTCCATCACCCTTAAAGTTGTAGAATTTGAGGTTGTCAGTCCCTCGGCCTGGAGAAGTTCAGTTCCATAGTCATGAACTATCTGAAGATCAAGCGACAGTGCGGAGACTTAAATACTGTCGGAAGGAGAGGTGCAGGGTAGTAGTAGTAGTAGTAGTAGAAATAGTAGTAGTGAGAGGCAACTGAGAGGTCATGTCCCTCTCAGATCCAACCCTTCTCACTTGAAAAGCTTGTTCAAGCTTGAACGATGGAAATATAAACACGGATGCAGTATAATGTGATCCTTTATTGACAACGTTTCACCCACACAGTGGGCTTTTTCAAGTCACACGGATCTACCTGGGGTTGGAATGTACGAGAGTATTTATAGTCATGTTCAGAATGTTGAGGTCAGGTGGAGAATGCTGCATCTGATGATCTACCGGGTGGGGTTATAGAGTCTTGGGTAGCTTGGCAGGGGTATTGGACAAGTTGTGAGTAGACCTTCTGCAGTGTTCTATGTTCTTATGTGGGATAGCGATGAAGAAGTTTCTGCAGAAGGTCTACTCACAACTTGTCCAATACCCCTGCCAAGCTACCCAAGACTCTATAGCCCCACCCGGTAGATCATCAGATGCAGCATTCTCCACCTGACCTCAACATTCTGAACATGACTATAAATACTCTCGTACCTTCCACCCCAGGTAGATCCGTGTGTGACTTGAAAAAGCCCACTGTGTGGGTGAAACGTTGTCAATAAAGGCTCACATTATACTGCATCTGTGTTTATATTTCCATTGTGTCGGTATTTTATACCATTTATTTCCACCACTTCTTGATATAAATCCCAGTAATCTGTTTGCCTCATTACGCACGCTTAGGCATTGATGTCTTGTTAGGTAAGACACATATGCAACAGTTAGGTATCTTTATGGCAATATAAACACAAATGCAGTATAATGTGATCCTTTATTGACTACGTTTCGCCCACACAGTGGGCTTTTTCAAGTCACAAACAGAACTACCTGGGGTGGAAGGAAAGCGAGTATTTATAGTCCGGCTGAGGTCAGGTGAAGAATGCTGCATCTGATGATGTACCGAGTTGGGTTGTAGAGTCTAAAAACTTGGGTAGCTTGGAAAGGAGACTGGACAAGTTTGTGAGCAGACCTTCTACAGTGTTCTTATGTGGGATAGCGATGAAGAAGTTTCTTGGCAAGTGGTTTCAAGCTATGTTATAGAACCATTATTCTGGCTTCTATAACATAGCTGAACCACTTGCCAAGAAACTTCTTCATCGCTATCCCACATAAGAACACTGTAGAAGGTCTGCTCACAAACTTGTCCAGTCTCCTTTCCAAGCTACCCAAGTTTTAGACTCTACAACCCAACCGGTACATCATCAGATGCAGCATTCTTCACCTGACCTCAGCCGGACTATAAATACTCGCTTTCCTTCCACCCCAGGTAGTTTCTGTTTGTGACTTGAAAAAGCCCACTGTGTGGGCGAAACGTAGTCAATAAAGGATCACATTAACTGCATTTGTGTTTATATTGCATTGTGTCGGTATTTTATACCATTTATTTCATAGGTTTCTTTATTTTTGAAACGTTTCGCCAAACACATAGGCTTCTTCAGTCGAGTACAGAAAAGTTGATAGAAGCAGAAGATACTTGAAGACGATGTAATCAGTCCATCACCCTTAAAGTTTTGAGGTGGTCAGTCCCTCAGTCTGGAGAAGAGCATTGTTCCGTTGTCTGAAACAATATGAAGTTGAAGTGACAGGATGGAGCCTTTATATAGTGCCAGGAGGTGAGACGTAGGTTGCTTTGGGAGGGCAGGTCCCTCTCAAACCCAGGCCCTTCTCACTGGTAGAGGTCGAAGTTGATGGTCTGTACAAAGATACCCTTGTGTTGCAGTGTCTGACAGAATGAACATTAAAATGGTATAAAATACCGACAGATTGTTAGGTAAGACACATATGCAACAGACTGAGGGACTGACCTCCTCAAAACTTTAAGGGTGATGGACTGATTACATCGTCTTCAAGTATCTTCTGCTTCTATCAACTTTTCTGTACTCGACTGAAGAAGCCTACTGTGTAGGCGAAACGTTTCAAAATAAAGATACCCAACTGTTGCATATGTGTCTTACCTAACAATCTGTCGGTATTTTATACCTTTTAATGTTTTATTGATGTCTTGGGTTTTAAAGGGTTTCTGCTTATCATAACCCCAAGTCCCTTTTCGCAATCTGTATGGCTAAGTTCTACATTATTTAGCTTATAAGTTCTAGGGTTGGACACTCCAAGTTTCAGAATCTTAATTTTTACATTAAAACTGCATCGCCACTTTTCTGCCCGGGTATTGATTTGTCTAAATCCTCCTAAAGGGGCCCCTAATATCTACGTTTAAAAAAATTTCCTACCTATTTTTGCGTCATCACGAATTTCCCATTTCACTAGAACCCCCTATCAAGGTTTTGATTATATTAAAAACAACAAGGGGCCCCCAAGATGACCCTTTTGGGAACGCCACTTGTTACAGATCCCCACTGGGTTTTAATTCTTTTATGGTCTCTGTTTCCTTTTTGGGAGCCATGACTCATCCTGACCACTTTCCCCCCAAACCATGGCTCCCACTTTTTTTTAAACTCTCTGGGCGGTACTCTATCAAAACCTTACCAAAATTTAAGTAAACAAATGAAAAAGACATTATGTCATTTTCAGGACATTTTTGGGGGAAACTTTCCCACGAGTGGCTTCTCAGTCCTAATACAAAAAAAAAATAAGAAAACATTTTATTAAAGTGGCAGGGTCAGGGGGTTGAAGGGGGGTGAGGTGGTAGAGGTAGTGTAAGTAAGGGAATAAGGAGGGAGGAAAAGAAGGGCCTTTCCATTTTTACACTACTAAAAAAAACCACCTCTACCCACGCTCCCCCTCACCTGACCCCTGCCATTATAAAAAATTTTTTTTTTCTTGTTTTTCTTTATTGGACTGAGAAGCCCTCGTGGCGAAAAGTTTCCCTTTAAAAAAATGTCCTGAACTGACATAAGGTCTTTTTTCCACATCTTGCGGGAACACCATACCATTTCCCATGAATTCTTTATCGGGTCAAAACCTCAAAAAACTTTACAAAAAAAATTAATAAATTTTTTTAGACAAGAACGGGGTCCCCGTGAACCATGCTGAGTTATTAAACAAGCTATCTTATCCCAAAGCTTCTTATGTCTCAGCTATAAAAGACTCTACAATTTGCCTACAATTGAGGGCAGGGTTTTTGGGGGGGTAAAATTTTCGGGCGACTTATTCCCCCGATTTAAAAATAGGGGAATTACATTAGCCATCTTCCACATATCAGACACTTTGTTAGGTAAGACACATATGCAACAGTTAGGTATCTTTATTTCGAAACGTTTCGCCTACACAGTAGGCTTCTTCAGTAGAGTAGAGAAAAGTTGATAGAAGCAGAAGAATCTTGAAGACACTACACCTGTTTGAAGAGATAAATTAAAAATATTAGTTAATGGTTCACAAAGTTCCATTTTGCATTCCTTAAGAACACTTGAAAAAAGCTCATCAGGTCCCGGCGACTTATTTTGCTTCAGTCTGTCTATTTGTTTCACAACCAATTCACTAGTGACTGTGATGTTACGTAATTCAGCGCTGAATTTAAACAATCAATAAAGGTAAAGCAAGCCACTACAGAGAGGTGGAATATCATCTCTATCATCTGATGTTCATATTTTCTTTATAATACGTATTCATATCTCCTTCATGTTTACTACATGGACCATCGATAAGTTTAGTGTATAACTCTGGCATTACCGCAGGCTGGAACGGGACCCAGAGCGGCCGACGTAGCACGGCAAGGAACACTGAAGGAACCTCCTGCATATCTTTGAAGAAGAAATTTCCCCATACCTCAGAGGGTGGAGAGAACCTTAACCCTCAGCAGCATTTCTTCGGGGAGGTAACCTGAATGCTATGGAAGAACTAAAACATAAGAAAGGGGACACTGCAGCGGCCTTTTGGGCCCATCTAGGCAGATCCTTACAACCCACCCCCTAAAAAATATTTGTTCAACCCAATTTTAATGCCCCCAAAAAAATTTAACCCTTTTAACTCTATCCACTCTCATATGAAGCCCACTAAACCAACCCCTCTCATCAGTTTTTAAAACATAAGAACTAAAAAGGAGGAACACGGCGGGCCTTTTGCCCATACTAGGCGGGCCTTTAAACAATTCATCCCCTCCTTTGAAAATTTTTTCTGCCCCCAAGAAAAACTGATTCAACCTCTAAATAATTTACTATTTTATCCCAAAAATTTTGAAACTACCCAAAGTCCCGCCTAAATCCCCAACAGGTAACTGTTCCACTCATCAACACCCTATTTCCAAACCAATACTTTCCTATGTCCTTTCTAAATTAAACTTACAAAATTTAAAATCCATTACTCGGTTCTCTTTTGGGAGAGATTCCTCAAGACCTTTTAATATCCCCTTTTTTAAAACCTATCTTCCACTTGTACACTTCGTCAGTTCCCCTATTCTTCGTCTAACAAGTAATGAAATTTTAAGATCTTAAATCTTTCTTCATAAGGAAAGTTTTTAAATGGAAAATATAAACAAAAATGCAGTTAATTGCCCTTTTTTGACTACGTTTCGCCCCCACAGTGGGTTTTTCAAGTCCAAACAGAACTACGGGGGTTTTGTTGTTAAAGATTCCCCGGGTTTTTTCCCGGCCCGAGTTTCCCAAGGGGGGCCCCGGGCCGGGCTCCCTGTCTGGGGAGTGCGAGCCTAAGTCTCCATGGGAGGAGGCAAAGTCCCCCCCTTTTTTTTAAAGGGTACAAATCCTCTGGCACCAACCATGCCCAAAGGGGGTTAATGCATGGTGTCGATCGTGGGCTGTGCCTCCTTGGGAGTGTGTGTTTTGGTGTTCTTTTTCATTCATGTTGATTCGCGGGGCCTTTGGCCCCGGTCTTTCCAGATGTGACCCGGAAATGGCCCCCGGGTGGGGGTGACGATAATCATCTTTTTCTTTTTTGGCCCTCCGGTTGGAGGATGTCTTTCTTCTTCTATCTTGGCTGACTTCCCCAAAGAGAAGCGCAGTGGGGCAAGGCAGCTTACAGGGTTATTGGGCCACACCCCAGCTTTAGCGGACAGCAAAAGTGCTGGGTGAAGGGGCATGGAAGTCGCCCCTATTCTGAAGCATCCTAAATTTTCCTCTTTAGGTTATTGACTTCCACGGGTTGGGGGGTGTTGGCGTGGTATCTGGTATTTCTTCATGGTGTATGAGCATTTGGTGTGGGTATACTTGATGTTCCCTGGAGGTGATGAGGATTTCTAAAGACAGCATTGTTTTCTTATATCCTTTGGGTTGTGTAAATATACACCCTTCAGAATCGCCCCGTTGGGGTTTGGGCAGCAGTGTCAGTGACATGGCACCGTGGTGCACCCGCAGTGTCTTGTGTTTTTGCTTTCTTGGCTGGGGGCTGAAGGGTGAAGGCGAGTTTTCCGACGGGTCAGTTGCTCGCGTGGAGAAAGGGGTAGGGACTCTCATTGGGGGGTTTTCCGGGTTCGGGTCTCTTTTGGCCATCTCTGGTCTAGTGGGGGTTGTGACAGCGGGGAGCAGCATGATCGGTAAATTTGCAGTAATTTTGGGATCTCATGGAAGGGGGGTGATGCGGGGAATGGAGGCCAGCATATTATTTAGTTTGAAAAGTTCATTGATGTGGTTTAAAGGGAACCAGGCTCAGTCATTCGGTACTGACAACATAATGCAAAAAAGATCTTGGTGGAGTCCAGTAGGTGCTGGCAGGGAAGTAGGGGGAGCAGTTTTCTGGCATGTAGTATTTTGGGTTGTTTTGCTTGAAGTTTGCGATAGAGAATATGGTCTTGTGGTTGGGGTTCTTTTGTTGTTTTTGTTTCTTGAGAGTCTCTTCGGGTAGGGCCCCTGGCAGAAAGATTTGGTGTCATTCTTGCAGTTAAAGCATTTAGGGGGGGAAGCTATGAAATTCTTGAATCATACCCTCAGGGCCCACAGGGGGAGCAACTTTTTGTCCTTGGTAGGAAAATCATTTGGGTTTAATTTAAGTAAAAATTTAAAGCCTGTGGAAATAGTTGGAATTTCTTGCTTCAATGGGCGGGTTTATGGGGAATATGAATAGCCAGGCCCAGCGAAGCTCTGGCTCCCATTTGACGTCACTAAAGGGTGACCTTCAGCAGGGTGAACTTTGGGGTTTTTTATAAGAAGTCCCCTTTGGCCAAGGTTTTTTGTTTCGATAGATGACTTGATTTCTTCAGGGGCCTGTACAGTGAAAAGGGTTGTGGCCCTTTGGGGAAAACACAGTTCTCCGGGCCCTCAGTCTGGGAAGTCGACAAAAATCCCTGGTCCTAGAGTGGTAGTACAGTGGGGTAAGTAGTTTTCAGCCTCTGTGTCTCTGTACGACGACAAAAAGGCCCTTTGACGAAAAATCGCATTCTTTTGATTTGCAGCCTCCACAAACGACACGCAATGCAAGTTTGGGACGACTCTTTGGTTGTCCCACTCGGGGGTTTGATTTTTACTCTGTTAGAGTAATGCATCGTGAGTGAAAAGTTGGGGGACGCCACCTCAAACTTTTAAGGGGGTGGACTGATTACATCGTCTTCAAATATCTTCTGCTTCTATCAACTTTCTGTCTTGACTGAAGAACCTCTGTGTAGGCGAAACGTTTCATAATAAAGATCCTAACTGTTTCTAGTGTCTTTCCCAACAACCTGCGTATGTTATACCCTTTTAATGTTCATTGCTGTCTTGGTTTAAGGTTGCTTTACCTAACCCCCAATCCTTTCGCAATCTGTAGGCTATTCTCTTAATTTTAATTATAATGCTAGGGTTATGGACACTCCCACTTAGACCTTCTTTATTACATTGAACTGCATCTGCCACTTTTCTGACCAAAGTAAGTTTGTCTAAACCTCCTGAAGTTCCCTAAAATTACGTTTGAACAATTACCTCATCTTCGTGTCACGGCGAATTTGCTAATCAAGTAATTCCTTCATCAAGATCATTGTATATATTAAAAACAACAAGGGGGCCCAAAATGATCCCTGTGGAACGCCACTTGTTCGATCCCACTTTATTTTAACCCCCTTTATGGACACTCTCTGCTTCCCGTCTGTGAGCCAGTTCGTCCACGAGAGACCCTTTTTCCCCAAAGCCTGACTGCTTTTTCTTCACCAGTCTTTTGTGCAACTTTCAATGCCTACTAAAATCTAAGTAAACAATATCAAATTCCCCTTTACGTGGTCAAACCTAAAAGTTTACTGAAAAAGTTAATAAATTTGTTTGACAAGAACGGCCCCTTTTGAATCCATCTGGTACATTAATCAACTATGTTTGAGAGGGTTCTTAAACCAGCTATAATTGACTCTAGTAATTTTCCTCAATTGAATCAGGGTTATTGGGCGGTAATTTGACGGTACGCTTGTCCCCTTTTTTAAAAATGGGAATTACTAGCATCTTCCACATACAGACACACACCCGTTGAAGAGATAAAAAAATATTAGTTAATGGGTTTACAAATTCCATTTTTCATTTTAAGAACCCTTAAAAAACCCCATCAGGCCCGGGACTTTTTTGCTTCATCGGTCTATTGCTTCACAACCCTTTCACTAGTGACGTGATGTTACTAATTTTTTCCTATCCCCATAAAAAATTAATTTCCGAATATTTTTAGGTCTTCCTGTGTAAAAACCGAAAAAAATAATTTTTTAAAAACGAGCCATTTTTTATTTTCTTTGTCATAAGATGCCCTATTTTTTTTAAGGGGGCCTATCTTATCTCTGACTTTTTTTTATAACCTGGAAAAACCTTTTTTGGGTTTTTTTTAGAATCCCCCAGCAAATTTAATTTCAAGTCCCCCTTTTTGCTTTTTTATCCCCTTTTTAATGCCCTTAATGTCAATATACTATTATAAGATGACCCTCGCTCTTTTGATAGCGTAAATTCCTTTTTTATGCCCTATAGTATTTCAGCCTTTATTCATCCATTTTGGGTCATTTTATTTATCTAATTTCCCTTTAAGGGATAAAAGTTCTTTGACAGAGTAATTTTGTTCAGAAAACTTCATATTAACTTCTTCGTTACCCCAGTCAAAAGATGATAAGTGTTCCTAAGCCCTGTAAAATCTGCAACGAAAATTGGGGCTGTTACTGGTTATCCCTACTATCATACTTCCTTCAATTCTAAATGTAATTTATTTTGGTCGCTAGCACCCAGTTCCTCTGAAATTCTAAAAATTAACAAAGGGGTTCATTTTTCCAGAACTAAGTCAGCAGGTTTTTACCCCTTTTAGGTTCTTCACAAACTGCTTCAAAAAAAAATCCTAACTAATTTAAGAAATCGTAGATTCAAAATTCCCCCTCAAGAAATTCCCAATCAATATGACTAAAGTTAAAATTTCCCCGAATTACACATTATCGTGCCTTGTGGGCCCTTTAAAAATTTCCTCCCATGTTCTCCCCTGGTCCCTATCTAAATTTTGGGGGGCGGTATATCCCCTAAAAATTTAATTTTTCAGCCCCCTGAAAATTCTATCCAAACAGACTCGTATGTGTTATTCAGACTTAAAACCCCTTTTTTTTTCAACATTTTTAAGCGATCTCGGACATAAATGCCACCCCACCCCCCTTCCGATACTTCTATCTACTTGGAAAAAATTTAAAACCCCGAATTGACATTTTGCAGGATGTCCCGACTTTTTTAAATTTAAACCACGTTCAAAAGGCAAATACTCTAGTTACCCCCACTAGCAACTAGTCTCAACTCCCTCCATCTATTTCCGCACTGCACTATTTGTGAAAAAAATTTTAATGCCCCCCCTTTCCCCTTTTCCCTTCCCGCCCTTTCTGTTATTCCACTAAACTTACTTCCTTGTCAAATTTTCCACGGGTTTCCAAAATCCACCTATTTTGCCCATTAAAATATTCTCCTAGTACTCATGTTACTACCCCCCACTTCACAGTTTTCCCCCCAAAAACCCCTACCACAACATTTCCCATTTTAAAAACCAACAGCCCCTCCACTGCGTTGCCAGTGCTCCCACCCCACAAGATAATGAACCCCACCCCGGCATACATGTCATTTCTGCCATAGAAATCCCATTTTGTAAATGAATTTACCGCTTTTTTCCTTAAACAGTATTTTTCCCCCCGCAATTGACCCCAATTGCTCGGAAAACCTTCATTTCCAACTCCTCCCCTTTGGCAAAAGCCAATATGACAGGTTTTCCCACCCTTCCCCCTAATTATCCTATTGCTGACCTATACTCTAATCGGGTCCCACTCCTAGTCTGCCAACATCGTTGCCTCCAGCACGAAAAAATAAAGATTGCCCCCATTCCCCTTCAGATGTCATCCGCGGCTAAAAATATCCTTCATCCCAGCCCCAGTAAAAAAACACTCCTGCCTCCTACTCCAACCTTCAAGCAAATCCCCCAATCCATGTACCATCGGGCTACCCCCAACAACAACAATGTTTTTACCTTCTTGGCGTCGTCTCGTCAAACTCCCGAGTCCCGTCATAGAATAAGACCTTGTGTATTTTTAAAAAATGGGTTAATAAAAACAGAGGGGGTGGGGGTAGGTGTGAGTTGGACCTGACTACTTGTCTACCAGGTCGGTGCCGTGCTCTTTGTTAATGGAAGTGACCTGAAAAGGGTGTCATTGCTTTTGGGCCCCGGGGGGGGGGGGGGGGGGGATGGCATGATCTGCTTGAGGGGTCATAGCCCTGTTGCATGTTCCTTCTTTCTTATTTTCTTAATTTTTTTATTGCACCGAAACTGATCACCGTTCAACATTTGCAGTCATCGAACTGTGAGGAGAAGCTCCACTACGTTTGTGAAACCAACAAGATCGACGTTAGTAAGTATTTATGATTTTTTTTTTATTCTTTTGCTGATGTATGTTTAATGCTAAGTTTGTCAAAATGAAAGTGTTCAAAGTTGCGACACTATCAAAAATTATTTTTTTTATTTCTTTGTGTGTAGTATATGAGAAGTTTAATTTCTTTATGCGAAACGTTAACCCCATTTGGGTCGTTCACCGCAAGGAGTGGTGGAGGCTTGATCCTCCGTCTGCAAAGTAGCTTTTTTTCCACTTTGGGTTATCCAAGGTAACGTACACATATGTTACCGTGCAAAACAACCACGGGGGAAGTTGAATGATAGCTCTAGGCCTTTCCTGTTGCAGTCAACACGTCATCAGGAGCTTGAAGTGTTGCAGGAATGAGTAGGAAGTCCAAGCAAATTCGTTCACGTGGAAAGTTTTTTGCTGGAATCTGGCAAAAGCTTTCCCCTAAAAGAATTTGCTTGGACTTCTTACTCATTCCTGCAACACTGCAAGCTCCTGATGACGTGTTGACTGCAACACGAAAGACCTAGAGCTATCATTCAACTTCCCTCGTGGTTGTTTTGCATCTTGTATCTCTTGTTAGCGATTATTACATATGTTACTACCTAAGATAATTTGTTGTCCTACATTTATGTGTACCAGAGCCTAAATAAACTTACCTAATTAAACTTACTTGCTTAGGAAAAATACCGACATTTCTCTTAGAGAATGACTGACTATTCTGTTTTCTATGACCAGCTGCATCAACGGCCAGGGATGACTTACTCAGGCACAGGCAACATCACTGCTCAGGTGAACCCTGCTTGTCGTGGAGTGACCCGAGGGTTCAACCAAAGGTGAAGGCTTTACTTATGGCTGCTGACCTCAGGGACAACTACTGTGCCAACCCAGACAATGATGACATGCCATGGTGCTTCACTGCCAGAGAAGAAGCCAGTTTTTTGCGATATTCCAGGTTTATAAAGGAAAAAGATTTTATTCAGTTGTTTGTCCCAAACGACAAAGATAAAAAAAGGGAAAAAGGGGAAAAAAGGGAACACTGCATTGGGCCTTTTGGCCCCATACTAGGCGGGTTTCCTTCACAAACCAACCCCACAAACAAAATTTAAACACTCCCCCAACAATAAGCTTTGTAATTCTATTTACCACATCAAGTCCCACTCAAATCCAACCCCCCCTCACTCATGTTTTTAAACCACAAAAATTTTTAAAATTCCCCAAAGGGTTTTTAGTTTTTGAAAACCCTTTTAAAGGCGACGTTCCACTCGTCAACTGCCCTATTCCCAAACCAGTACCTTCCTATACCTTTCGAAATCTAAACTTGCTAACTGAACCAAATTATTGCGGGCTCTCTCTTAGGGATACCCTTAAAAAACCATTTTTAAATTTTCCCCTTTTTTTAAAACCCATCTTCCACTTAAACACTTTGACCCAGCTCCCCCCTTTCCTCGCCCTTACAAGTAAATGTATTTTAAAGAGTTTTTAAATCTTTCTTAAAGGAAGAACCCTCCAAAATTTATGAAAAATCTAATGATCAAAAATCCCCAAAAAAACCTTAAATTTTGATAAATCTTTTTAAAATAAGTGGAACCCCGGATTTCGCATTTTAAACCTTTTCCAAAAGGTGATTAAAAACCCGAAAAGTGCAAAAACCGAAAGCAATTTTTTTCCCATAAGAAATAATGTAAAAAAATTTAACCCGTTCCGGGAACACCCAAAAATATTCACAAAAAAATTTTTTTTTAAAAAAAACCTATGGGTTTTAAACATACAGAAAACAAGGGAAAAAAAAATTTAAATAAATAAAACATTACAATTTTTTATTGAAGACTAAATGTTGGCATATGGAAGGTGAGGAGGGAGAAAGAGTTAGGGGTTAAATTTTTTGGAAAGGGGGAATCCCCCTCCAAAAGAATTTCGGGTATCAATTCCCTCTCGGGGGTTATTTTCCCCTTCTTTGTTTTTTTAAATGTCACAGGACCAGCTTGAGAGCCACGGGAAACCTCTTCATACAAAAAAACTTCCAGAGAGCTCTGTTTTTTGGCATCCCCCTTTAAAGTTTTTCCCTTTAAAAGTGGGAAAAGGTTTTTGCCCCTGAAGATATTGCAGATATGGCTTTTTTCAGTTTGGTCGGGGTGAAAATTTTTCAACAAAACTTTGAAACCCTCATTTCACTTTGCACACAGGGCCTTTAAATCACTGAAAAAGAAAACCTTCTCCCCTTTCTCTTTTCCTCCTCCTCTGAAGAAATTTTTTCCCTCGCTGCATTTTTGTTACTGTTCCTTTTAAAAAGGTCTTGCAGCCTTAAAAGGTTAGCTTTTCCCCTTTGGGGGTTCCCCCCAACTTTTCCACATCCGGCCACTCACCTCCAACCCCATGGACTTCCCTAAAGCCCCTGGAATAAATTCCCTGCCAAGCCTTACCTAAAAGGGTTTAAAGCAATGGAAGATATTCCCGGGTGATCCCCCAAGCTCTCTTAGGGTCAAATCATTCTGAGGTCACCCCAAATCCACCTTTAAAAACTTTGTTTTTGGTGAAGGGGTTTTTTCCCCAAGTTAGAAATGACCTGCGGGCCAGGGGCCGGATAAAAAAAAGAGGGAGGGGTGTTGGAGGCAAAAACCCTTTCAGTTTAAAAAAATTAAAATCCCTAAAAAAAGGGGGTTTTTCCAAGTCTGGGGGATGAGCAGGGCATTGCTCGGGACCAACACACTTGAGTGGCAATTTATTTTCCGGAAAGGTTTTTTTTTCACACCCTGCCAAACATTTTCATAGCCCAAATTTCAATTGCAGTGCCTCCCCCTTTATGTGTGCCGGGACCCCCCCTTATTTTTTTGCAGTAACCTCGTGAAAAACGTGTCGAAGGCCTTTTTGCACCCAAAAAAAATTGCGGGTCAAATTCCCCCCTTCTCTCTTTTGTTTATTTCTGTCACCTTTCATAAAACTCTGTAGGTTTTGACACGGGATTTTCCCTTTTCCCTGAAACCGTGCTGGTTGCCAATTATACTTTTTTTTTTCTTTCCGGGTTTTTTCCACCACTCTCCTGATGCCCCCTTCTCCATGCCCTTTGCATACTATACATTTTAGTGATACAGGCGTTTTTTTAGGGGCCTCATGCCCTGTCTCCCTTTTTAAAAATTGGACTACTTTTTGCCATCTTCCATACCTCGGGGTTCCCCTTTTTTCAAAATGTTTTTTTAAAGGGATCTTTTTTAAATGGCCACACAATACTCTGTTTCCCTCTTTAAAGGCCCCAGGGAGAGATGCCCTGGGGTGCTTGAGGTGAAATTCGCAAAAGCACTTTTTTCCCCTCCCCCTTTGGGTTATATGTCCCCTCATCCAGCACTTGCGGGTGTACCCCCCGGTTCTGATTTCCTGGAGTCCTACTGGTTTCCACTGTAAATGCTTCTTTAAATCTCGTGTTGAGCTCTTGACTGCCCTGGGTCGCTTTTTTGTAAAATTCCCCGTCCCCCCTTCCCTCTTTCTGATTACCTGGTCCTTGCCCTTTTGTTTTCCTCCTGATGTGGCTGAAACAACAGTTTGGGGGTCAGTCTTGACTTTCGATGCTATGTCATTTTCATATTGTCGCTGAGCCCCCCCTTTTTTTTCTGTGCATATTCGTTTCTGGCTCTTCGGCTAATCTCTTTATTTTCCTGAGTTCTCGTCTTCTGTACCTTTTTCCCTTCTCTGTACAAAACCCAGCTTTTCCTACCTACACCTTTTGGGGGATCCCCCGGGCTCTTTTTGTTCTTCCCCTTAAAATTTTTGTTTCCCCCTTTGGGGAAAAAACCCCCTCCTCTACCTCCTTTCATTTTTTTGCCACAAAAGTCCCACATTTCTTGTACTGGTTTTCCTTCATTTCCCTCTTCCCCCCTGAAGTCCCTTTAAAAATTCCCCATGCCTGATAGTTTCCCCCTTTCGTATTTGTTTTTTTCCCCCCCTATTCCTCTACTTTCCTTTCCCCTTGGACCAAATAAGTAGTCGAAGGGACGAACCACAAAATCACTACCCCAGGGGCCCTTTTATACATGATATCCTCGATTTACAACTACTCAAGGGGAATACAAGGGCCAGTATGGCTGGGTTCCCTCCTCTCCCCCTCTCCTGGTAGTGTCTAACCCTTTTATGCATGAGGTTTTCCCCTACCCAAAAACCACCCTCTTGGGGTCTCCATGTTTTGGGACCCCCATGGGGGTCCGTTTTTTTCCCCGTCCCAAACTCCTTGCGATTAAATCAAACCCCAAAAATAGTAACTTTGCTCCCCCCATTTGGGGCCCTCTCTGGCCCCCTCGGCTAGTTTTGGGGCGACCCGTTGCTTTTGTTGCTCTTTATCGCATTCCTTTTTCCTTTCCCTCCTTCAGTTCTGTGGGGGGTTTTTACAAATTTCTGCCCAAATTTTCACCTTAAGTCCCCCAACGGATTGTTTTCCCAATAGGGATCCCTTTTTCCCCTCCCTCTATTCCTTCCATTTTCCCCAAAAACCCCCCCTGTTTTTTAAAAGAGCAGTCAACTCCTCCTCCCCCCTCTTTTTCCTCTGTCTTTCCTGAGGATTTGTTAACCCGGGAAAGGGAAAGATTTTAATCTGTTTTTTATTCTTGTGAGTTTTGTTTCTGTGATTTCTATTATGTTGGGGGTGTCTCCTTGATTCTTTTGTGGGGCCCCTCCCCCATACTTTTTTGTTATTCCATCTGCATTTGTATACCAAAAAAAACCTTCCCAAATTTTTTTTCTAAGACCGTTGGCTTTGGGGGGTGTATTGTGTAAAGTGGGGGACCTCATAAGAAGTATTTGGGGGTTTTCTTTTGGGGGGGAGTTTTTAATGCAGTGGGTGGGGGCACTGGGTGGGGCATGGGTTTTTTTGGGTTTTGAGTGTTTTGGTTGCACTGGGGTTTTAAACCCGGTTTGGGGGGCCCTTTTAAGGAAGTTGTGAGGGAGGCTGTATTTGGGTCTTTTTCCGGGGTTTTGGGTCTCCGTCTTCCCTTCCCCCATCCCCCCTCTTCCCCCCTTTCACATTTTTACCATCTTTTCCAGTTTCTGCCTTTTCTTTTTGTATTCTTTTTCGGCGGAAAACACCTTCCCCTTTTCGGGGATGCCCCTTAAATCGTGCTTTCCCCCTGCGTATCCTTTTTTGAGTCGATTCTGCCTTGAAAAATCCCTTTCCCCTGGCCGGGTTTTTTTTTTTACAAACCCCCCAAATTTTCCGAAAAATTCCCACTGGGCATGTCCTCTTCTCCTATTCGGTTTTTTAAAGATGCTTTTTAATTGCTTTTTTTTCCCCCCTTTTTTTCTTTTCTTCATTGTTTCCCCTTCAAATTCCCCGGGGCCCATACACAAAACTGACCTCAACCCTTTTTAAATTTTTTCCACGGGATAAACCCTTTTATCCCCCATTCAATTTGATTTCCTCCATTCAGCTTTCCTTTTTTCAGTTTCACTAGCTAATGGGACGGGCTCATTTGGGATTTTATTTTCCCCTTTTCGGCTTTTCCCGGGCCCCTGCTGTGTCTGTTTGGGCCTCCATATAAGCTTAGGGTCTTTTATTTTCTACAGTCCCCCCTGATAGAGCTTCCTACATGCAGTTTTTTCTCCTTTTCCCTACAGTCCCCTTATTTGTGACTGAGGTAGCAGTCCCCTGTTGTCAAACCCCCAAAAAGTTCTTTATTCCCCTTTTTGGCTGTTTTTAGATTTTTCCGTTCCTCTTCTAAACTCTTATCCCCCCCCTGCCTTTGACCCTTTCAACCCCCACTTCCTTTCTTTCCATATCTATCCCCCTTTCCATTCTCAAAGCTAAAATTTTTCTAGTTTTTTTTCCCATTCATGTTTTCCCTTTTTTTGAGCTCTGCTGCCCAATTTTTCCTTTGCAGCTTTTCCCCCCCGTCCCCTTGGGTTTTTTCCCCTTTTTGCTCTCCTGGAAAATCATTTTTTTTTTTATCCTGATT